AATTCCATTATCTTTCTTTCAATTCCATTTCCCAATAACTATGGATGATTGGGTAGTCACTTTTATTTACTAACTTAACCAGTAGCGCTGTAAGATAAGCATTGGACTACATGGTCAGTTTGAACCATAAGGAAAATGGTTCAAACTCACCAGCCACTCCTCAGAAACCCTGAACTGTTCACTATGAGTCAGAATTGACTCGATGGCACTTAACAACAACAATGTAAGTTTTTAAAAAACAAATATAAAACATTTTAATCCAGTATACCCATGTGTAGCTATAAATAACAGCATATCAATACCATGAAATCTTTTAAGTACTTAACAGAGTTGTTGTCTCCAAAACAATAATAGTTAACATTGACATTACAGCAATGAACATAAAACAGAGTTGAGATGAGAATGAATGTAGCCAAATTTAAAATAAGTTCCCAAATCAGATTTGGTTCTTCTTAAGGTAAGTAACCATTGAGAAACCAAAAGCAGTACCAAGAAGACACTGAAGTCCTGGATTATATTTTTCCAAAGAAAGAAAACACCTAGGGAACTAAGAAAATGTAGAAATCATTCCTCACTTTTTATTTTTTTTAAATGCTACAACATGGACATTACAGGCTCAAAATATTCTGCTAAATCCTCAGGGAAAAGTAATAAAGACATTCATAAACCCTAACTTTAAGAGGATTATAATTATGTAATTATTTGAAGCAAAGAAAGGAACACTCTAACAATGTTAGAAAAATCAAGGCATTATACAAGTAAGCACCTAGGAAGCAGATCTTTGTAACAAAATAATTCTTATTAAATTATTTGGTACTCTGCCATGCAGTTCCCAACTGTACAGTTCTTTTCTTTGGAAATGGAAAGTGTAACTCTTTCTGATCCAATGCAACACACAAGTCACCGTCTTCATATATAAGACGTTGGGTTGGGACAAAAAGTATTTGGCAGGTAAATAAAAGCTTTGGAGTCAAACAAAAATTATCAAAACCAAAAAAAAATACAGGATAGCAAATATACTACAATTGCATTTATAAAATTACACACTGGAAAAAAGAAACATTCTAAAAAGAAAACTGCCATTGCAATTGTAGAGTAGGATCAAGGAGTGAAAACTGTTTTGTTTTCTGATATTGGCATATTTATTGTCTTTCCAACACACCAGAAAATGCTGATTTTCCTTTTTAAGTTTAATCAACACAGATGTTACCCTAATATATATTTTTATAAAGCTTTGGAAAATAAAGCTCATTAACTATTGGGTTGTTCTGGGGTATATTTTGGGGGATATGAGGGAAGGGTCACCACTAAACATTAGAGAGAAATGAAATTCTCAATTATGAAATTTAAAACCACTGTACTCACCTGTAAACTAGTACGTACTGAATTTATACTATCAAAGGATGGAAACACATAATTTATGTATGTCTCTTGATCAGGACTGACTCCTATTTCATGCATAGCTTTGAGAACTTCAATTATACCTAGAAGATAAAATTTGGAAGCACAGAGATGAGAAACAAGAGCTAAATTAACAAAAGATCAGAAAGCTTTAGTTTAATTATTTCCCGAATCACTATGTATTTTGTCTAATAGAGAAGGCACAAAAGCAACACAAATGGGAGATAAGATGTTAAATTAAAAAATCAACTCTTTCCTTTGCCTCCCTCTGATTCAGTAATGAGCTTGAAGAAAATACCCTAGAGAGTATGACTATCAGAAGACTTAAAGCAATTACTTGACATGTAACTCAAAAGATATCATAAATATCACTGTTATTATAGAGAATATGGTAGACCTACACAACAAAACTTGACAATAATAAATACTGCAGCGGGGGGGGGGGCACTGGGGGAAGGAAGGCTGTGGCAAACACAAAACCAGTTTCAAAAACTGTTTTTAAGTATTCATGTAAAAAAAGGAAACAAACAAACGAAAGCAAAACTCTAATCGTTACTAACTCTTGGTACCGTCCTATTTTGTAATGTATAAAACAGGTAGGTGCAATAATGATTCTACTAATTTATAGTCTAACTGCATTTTACATGAACATTTTTAGTTGTTTCTTCCCTACTCCCACCCCCCAAAAGTCTGTTAATAACTTAAAAGACCATTTTATGTTTTCTAAAACATCGGTTAACATCAAATAGTAAAAATGGATTTCTTTGTCTCAGACCTAGTTAATCCTAGGAAACTGTCAGAGTACTCACGTGTCATCTCATCTGACATGAGACTGTATGTTAGTATGTGGAAGAAAGGTGTGTTGGTTGGCCTCCGTAAAGACTCACAGCATTGCAAATTGTATGGGGCAGTGCTACTGACCTACAATGTTGCTATGAGTCAGATCGACTTGACAGCAGTGACTTTGGTTTTGGTAGAATACAAGTATAAAGGACATAATTGTTTTTTAAAATTTACTTCTAAGCTTCATTATTTCCCATTATTAAAAGTTCCTAGTTTTGCCCAATGATAAGCCCAATATAAACAAATGGCATTTCTGTAAAATTGTTATATAATGTGCTCTAGTTCATAAACTATGGGCAATCCTGATTATGACTAATCACATATATCTCAAGCAAAATCCAGAGTACTGAGAGTATTTTACATTTAAACAGCTCTTTAGGTTTCAGATTACCTATAGTTACCGTGCAACTACTAATGATGAATTTGTGCTAATCAAATGTCCCCAATACCCCTTCTGACCAGCAATGGTTGTTTCCATGACTATGGTTTAAGGTAAGGAGTTAAGTTTATACTGAGGCGCTCTGGAGAAGTGGCATGTAAAGTTCTGATACTGTTTATTAGAGACCTGCCTTCCAACCCTGGCTCTACCACTTAATAGCAATGTAACTGAGCAAATCATTCCACCTTTCTAAGCCTTTATATATTTTATCACACATACTCAGAAATAGCAATATGAAAAATGGGCTTTTTAGACACTTCCATACATATTTTTATCGTTGTTAACTACCATCAATTGGGTTCTGACTCATAGTGACCCCTATACAGGGTTTCTGAAGAGCAGCTGGTGGGTTTGAACTGCCAAACCTTAAAGATAGTAGTCCAGTGCTTATCCTACAGCACCACACCATCATATTGCTTTGCTTAATTCTGACCACAGAATTTACTCTTCTAACTACCATACACAGATTAAGTAAGGCATTGTGTATCGATGCACTCAGTGAAGCAAACTATTATTTCTGTGAAGGTTCAACAAGGTACCAAAAATTCTAGAAGCTTGAATCAAAGTTCTAAGAATTAGTAGTATCACCAGGCATGGAAGAAATTATTTGGCCTAAGCCTAGGGCAACACTGAAGACGGCAAGATGAACAGAGCTAAAACACGCCGAATCAAAAGAATCTCAGTATTACAACTTAGCTTATATCTACTTATCAAGCTCTGTATCAACAATGCTTTCAACTCAGTCTATTAGGAGATAAACTTTTCTGTGTAAACAAAGCTGGAATGCCTCTAGAAGTCATCTCATCATCATTTTAAGAAGGTGAAGTTAAGTGATTTATCCAAGAGCACAGTCTGCACCACAACCTTGAAGACTCCCAATTGCCGGCAGGTACTGTCAACACTACAAGAATGCTAACACACTTTCTCCTGGGGCCAGGGGGACCTGGGATTTAGTCTCTGTTCTGCCACCAAAAGGTGTGTCTATAATATAGGAATTATAAATAATATAGGAATAGTGTCTATAATATAGCCATATTTATAATAAAACTCCTTATTTACCTCTCTAGGTGGTTGTTAAATTGAAAAAAAAAAAAAAAACTGACGGGGAAAAATATGTGTGAAATCTAATACCAAATAAATATTAACAGCAACAGTAATATATTTCATTCTCTTAGTTTTATCAGAGGAGTACCTGTAGTTCACTTAGATGAGCTAGCTGTATTACTAGTATGGAGGGGCAACAAAAAGATCAGGAAAATGGAATGAAAAGATTCTGGACGTTCTCCATGAACTTTCTGAAACCCCTAGTATTTTAAACTTAAGCTTTAGAAAACCTGGGCTTAAAACTTCTGCTCAGGTAAGCTCCATTACACCTTCAGTCATTCTGCAAGATAAAACAAAGATACTCACTTTAATAACCACTGATGGAGGAGAAAAGCACTTATCAACCAGGAGGAAAAAAGTGATTGATCAATCATAACTA